ACACTTTCACCCAGTTGTCCTCTGAATCATTCTGATGTTCATTTGGCAAACTTCAGACGGGCATGTATATGTGCTTTCTTGAGCAGGGGGACCTTGCGGGCGCTGCAGGATTTCAGTCCTTCACGGCGTAGTGTGTTACCAATTGTTTTCTTGGTGACTATGGTCCCAGCTTCCTTGAGATCATTGACAAGATCCTCCCGTGTAGTTCTGGGCTGATTCCTCACCGTTCTCATGATCATTGCAACCCCACGAGGTGAGATCTTGCATGGAGCCCCAGGCCGAGGGAGATTGCCAGTTCTTTTGTGTTTCTTCCATTTGCGAATAATCGCACCAACTGTTGTCACCTTCTTACCAAGTTGCTTGGTAATGGTCTTGTAGCCCATTCCAACCTTGTGTAGGCCTACAATCTTGTCCCTGATATCCTTGGAGAGCTCTTTGGTCTTGGCCATGGTGGAGAGTTTGGAATCTGATTGATTGCTTCTGTGGACAGGTGTCTTTTATACAGGTAACTAGCTGAGATTAGGAGCACTCCCTTTAAGAGTGTGCTCCTAATCTCAGCTCGTTACCTGTATAAAAGACACCTGGGAGCCAGAAATCTTTCTGATTGAGAGGGGGTCAAATACTTATTTCCCTCATTAAAATGCTAATCAATTTATAACATTTTTGACATGCGTTTTTCTGGATTTTGTTGTTATTCTGTCTCTCACTATTCAAATAAACCTACCATTAAAATTATAGACTGATCAGTTCTTTGTTAGGGGGAAAACGTACAAAATCAGCAGGGGATCAAATAGTTTTTTTCCCTCGCTGTAAAAGGAAAAGTTGTGAATGTGTGTGTCTGTTCAAAATGTTTAGCGTACTTCCCGACATGCAACAAACTTGAAATTTTACGATGTGGGTACTTCCCAGACTGTACACCATGCCAAAAATTATAAAAAAATACACTTTCGTTTTTTTGGGGGGGGCCGAGCTCAATACTGCATATTTATTTTACACGGCAAGTGAGCCGTGACGTCAAATCTGTCACGTGACACCGCGTCGCGCGGCGCTTTGAGACGCGCTTTCTGCGGCCGTCTGGAGTACTCCTTCCGATATTAGGAAGCAATGCGCTATTAAATCATTCCCATTGAAAACGAATTTCTTTCAAACTGCTTTTAGCGTTTGGTTCGTTGCCCTTCGGCCGCGCTTCCAATTAGCGCGGTTGGCTACGGGGACGACGGCACGCGGGTCAAGGTTGGCGACGGAGTGGCAGCCGAGAGGGGCGAGCGGAGGGGACGGAGCGATGAATCCAGCTCGCGCGCTGGTCCGGTTCCTCCTCGTGCCTCCGAGGCGTCTCCGTCTTCCAGAGCGAGGCACTCGCGTGCGACGGCGTGCTGCGCGAGCCCGAAGCATTAATGTTGTCATTGTTGAACTCAAGGTTGACGAAAATAATTCTGCCTTGGGCCTTCGTGGTTTTTCCAAAAATGCTGGCACATTTTTGTTATTCCTGGGCCTCCCCTAGGTCGACTCGGCCTCAAACGAGTACCTGGTGCGGTGTGTAGTAAACACCGCCACTGGGGAGGCAAAGGCGGCCGGGTGTGGTGCTGGCCACCCATCCACCCGTGCGCCGTGCCGGCCTTCATAGGCGCTACACGAGAACAGCACTTGCCCCAGCAGCCTGTGTAGGCTACACGGGGGACCTTTGTATATTGATTGCCTTTCATCATTCTCAGCCGTGGTCAATCCACTGCTGGATGAAGGCCTCCCCAAGCCTCTGCCACCGCCTGTCACGATCCAGTGATGTGACGATCCACTCAGTCTCTACAGACGCACTCAAGAGTTACGTAAAATTTAATTGTACGGTGTTTACCCAGCCTTGTAGAATCCTTACGAATCATTACTTTAGTTTGCAATTATTATTTTTTCAGGAGCACTCAATAACCGCCAATAATTGGTGCTCGGAGCTTGACATTCCTAGCTAATGCATGAGGTCTCCATGTGCTGGGAGTTGCATCGAGAGCCGGTGAGAGGAGCCACGTGGATTAGAGAACAAGCCCTCATTAGGGACATCATCACCCACACTGCTCAGGAGACTGAGTGGGGCTTGAACAGCGGAACGCGTGACGTCTGTATGCATGATGAACTTCTTTCGCGCCGTGCGAAGCCAACCGTGTTAATTGGAGGTGCGGTGGAAAGACAACAAACTGAACGCTAAAAGCAGTTTTCAAGAAGTGAGTTTCCAATCTAGATTCAAGAGTGCGTAGCTCCAGTCGCTTCCAACATGTGGGAAGAGCGTTTTGGACTGCAGCAGCAGCAGCGCATCTGAAAACGCGCGATGCGGTGACCACCGTCTTTGCTCGATGGCGAGCCAAAAGCCGCATGCCAGGATGACCGAAAGTGTGCGTGGTGGCATACGTTCCGTGACGAGATCAGCGAGGTATTGTGGTTCACTTGCGGCACGGGCTTTGTGTGTAACGAGCGCGACCCTTTTAATGCCACGGCCAGAAGGGGGGCGGTCGTGGCCGGCGGTCGCGATTGACCGCGGAGCGGCTTCGGAGGAATCTGAACGCGTTCTGCGATGACGTCCGCCGTGGAGACGGACCCGATGATCAAATCAGCTCCTCGTGCATAGAGCAGGCGCTGGGCAGATCGTTACATCGCGGGATCGCGAGCGGTGAAGGCGGCGGCTTGGAGAGTAATCGGTGGATGATGACGATGACGATGACTGCAACGAGTTTAAACGCTTGTGTCGCATTCCACACTTTACAGCATATCGAGTGGGTGCTTGGCAGTGCCATGGCACAGGCCTTGTGCACGAAAGAAAAAAAAACCCGTCAATGATTAACCACCTCCGCCCTACGGGACTTGTGACGATGGCACGGTCTCCATCCGGCCTCAAGTACAATGCGCCTAATGCCACGAGCCATGGTCAACCCACCGCTGAATCAAGCCCCCCTCCCCAAACCACCACCGCAACATCTCACGTGACGGCCCAGCCCCAGCGCCTGGCTGCAGAAGCACGTTGCGTGATTGTCATTGTTGCTACCCGGGCGGGCGGGCGGGGAGGGGGGAGGGAGCGGTGGCGCAACGGTTAGCGCGCTGCCTTATGAACCTGACGACCCGAGTTTTGATTCCCGGCCACGGCTAAACGTCAGCGGCGAGCGGTGACCGATCGCCTTTGTGAACGTGCTCGAAGACCCGTGCGGTCTACGTTTCGGTGATGATGTCCACGTTGCTATTATGAGGATAGCAGAGACGGTGGTGGCCATGCAGCTGGCTGCCTGTAATCCAGGAGGCAAGCAGCGAGGGTTGGTGGGTCACACACAGAGTAGGGCTGAGGAGGAGCCGTAGCCTGGCTCGCCAGGTGAAGGCGTTGCAGCATTTGTACGCGGGGAATAGAGCGTTGCCCCCTCGCGCTAGGCTTGGATTTTCTCCGGGTGCTCTGGTGTTCTCCTCCTCCGACGCGCGCTATAATAATAATAAACACGGCTCGTCATCATTAATTGGCTGAGGGCATCTTACAACAATATGGCAGAGTACAACACACATACTTGGAGACTCGCCCCCTCTCTCCCAGTTGAGCAACTCCCCGCGTTGCCTTTATGTCTGTGGGCCTCGGAAAAGGCCAATTGTGTAATTTGCGTATTGCGTGCGCATTGTGCGTGCGGTGGCGGAAAGATCGGACCGTCTCTTTTGAAACGGAAGATAAGCGGACGATAAATACGCCTCCACGCCACGTTTGTCTCTCCCCTCAATACTTATAAATGTATATAAATGTTTACATCATGAGACCTCCTTTGCCAGTACCAAAATTTAATAATAGGGTTTTTCCCCTTTTTTCTGGCAACAAAAACTGAAACCTTTTTACAAGGAATCGTTTTTTGTTGGCATTAACCGCGATACTTGTGGACAAAATGCAAACAAAAAAACACACACTCTTGTAAAAAGGTTTCAGTTTTGTTGCCAGAAAAAAGGGGAAAAACCCTATTGTTGTATATAAATGTTTACACTTAACTTTGGGCCGCGCACGGCATTCTGGGAGTGCAATTCTTTCAGCGGCATTCGCCAAACGCGGTCCCAGACTCCCGGACCGGTTTCGAATTTCATTGTCTCGCCAGCAGAGCTGGGCTCGCCTCATACGGTGCTGCCGAACAAATCGTTCACACGCTCCGTTCGCTGACTTATCTCCACGATGACACTCCACGGTAATTCTGTGCTGTGCGGTCCTGCATCGAACCGGGGACCACATCTGGCAGGGGGAGGGTCCTCGCCTAGAAACATCTGGCACTTCACCAAGATGGGTGTTGTTTTTAGGCCAGACAAATGGCCGTGGAGCTGATGATGAGATGTGTTCAGAAGGCGTATTTTTTTTTTATTTGGAGGGACCAATATGGGAAAGGAGGCTGATTGGGTTCGTCAATTTTGTTCCTTGCATTGACAACGGCTCGCAGAGCACGCTCCACACTCGCACACAAGACAAAGATCCCCCGTGTAGCCTTTAACAGACTGTAGGGGGCAAGTGCTGTTAGCGAGCGCCTACGCAGGCCGGCACGGCACACTAGCGGCTGAGTGGCCAGCACCACGCCCGGCCGCCTTTGTCTCCCCCAGTGTCGACGTTTACACGTTGTATCAAGTACTCATTTGAGGCTTGCGTCGACCTTCGCACCGTGCGTATCCCGCCGTGCTAATGGCTGCGGGGATCGGAACGCCGCACGCTAACCGCTACACTACCGCCCTCCATTCTCATACACATTCACGCGACCTTTCAGGCGCACTCGCTCATTTACACCCTCGCACACTCGCTCAGACACTCGCACGCTAACGCGCACTCTGCAGGACGCAGGGGAGAACATTCCTCTCGCACAAACTCACTCAGGACGGTGCCCGAGTCACGAATCGAACCCAGGTCCCTTGTTGCTGCGAGGACCGCGAGCGTCGCCACCGCGACACCACAACCACCACCGCCGCCCCCACCAGCCCCCAGCTAACCCCCGCGTGCGCCGTGCCTCCCTGCGGAGCAGGCCGGGCGCCGGAGAGAAAGGCCCCGGGGAGGCCGGGGAGCCGGGCGCCTCGCCGGCCAAGCGCGCGGCGGCGGCGGCGGCGGCCCGTCGCAAGCAGTTCTACGTCAACCGCGCCGTGCGCAACTCCGACCTCGTGCGTCAGGGCAAGGGGCGCCAGCGCCTGCGCCGGCAGGAGAACGGTAAGCGCCGCTCGCGCCGGTCCCCGACGATGTCTCCCCTTTAATTTTTGTCCGCCGCACCGGGTGGCCGAGCCGCCCCGGCACGGCACGGGAGGCACCGGCGCCGTCGGCGTTTCCACGACGCCGACGGTTCCGCGCCTGTCCCAACGAGCGGCGCGGCAAAAAAAAAAAAAGCCCCTCTTGAGCCGCGCCGTGAGACGCGAGCGGAACCGGCGCATCCGTGGCGAGGCGCCTCTTGAACGGCGGCGGCGGTGGCGGCGGTGGCGGTGGCGTGTCCCCCCGCGCGCGTGCAGCTCACTACCTCGTGAACCTCGTGGACAAGATGGGCCCCTGCGGCGCGGAGGACGCGGACGAGAGCGACGCGAGGCCCAACTCCATCTTCTCCGAGGTCCTCACCAAGGAGGACTACATCCAGGTACGGGGACCCTCCCCCGCCTCCGCGCCACCACCCGGGGAGGGAGAGGGACGCGCCGCTCTCCCGCCGCGGACCCCCCACCCCCACACACCCCCCCGCCGTGTTGTCCGGGCGACGGCGGCAGCGACGGCGGCAGTGACGGCGGGTTACGCTGCGCTCGCAGATTTGGAACGACTTCATGAACCGGCCCGGGGAGGAGCAGGAGCGGCTCCTGCGGGGACTCGACGGGGAGGAGACGGTGGGGAGCAAACTCGGCCCGCACGGCGCCACCCACGGTACGGCGCGCTCACCCTCGTGCTCGTCGTTAGTCTGCAAAGAGCTGAGTGGGCTCGGTGGACCGAGTGGGCTCGGTGGACCGAGTGGGCTCGGTGGATTCGAGGGACCCGGGGGGGACAGGGAGAGACGGGATAAAACGTTTGAACGCGGCCGCTCGCGGCCGTGGCTTCTCCTCCCCGGCAGGGCCGCTGCCGTACAGCCCCAGGGAGTGCTACGAGCGGATCGACAAGCACATCCGCCTTACGCTTCGCAAGAAGCGTCTTCCCCTGGTGAGCCACGCGCCCCCCCTAACCACTACCCCCCCCCCCCCCCCCCCAATTGTCCCCCCCCCCCCCCCCGCGCCGGCCCGCGACCTCCTCTTGCCCCTCCGTGACCTCCGTTGGAGTCGAAACCCGCAGGGCCGTTAGCGGCTCCGGACGAGCGTTTGCGGGCGTCGCGGCTCGTGCCGGGGCCCACTGCTCGGTGGCCCTGGCGAGCGACGGCGCCGTGCCGGGCCGGGCCGTATGACGGCTCAAGTCCGTTGTTTTGCTTCGGCTACGTTGGGGGAAAAAAAAATATTTACGCGTGTTAATTTTTTTATATATATATTAAAAAAAAATATTCCCCGGCGAGAGATGGATCCGTCGCGTGACGAGTCCGTTATAACGGAATTCGCACACACGCACACGCGTGTACATTAACACGGGGCATGGAGTCTTCTTGAGATTTGGGACGGGAATGAGCAGAGATGTGGGCAACGTGGTTTTGGTGAAGGTGGGGGGTGAGCGGTGGCCCCTGCCAGGAGAGCGGAGCAAGCGGAGCCCGGCGACCCGTAGCCATTTGCCTTAATCTCCCGAGCAACGCGGGATGATTGCGGTGATCACGGTTTCAATCTCTCCTCCCGCTCGCCGCCGAGATCGACAGCGGCGGCGGGGGCGGCTAAGCGCTCCGCTTATCTCGGCGAGCGCCCGCCGCTCGCCGGGGGGAGGTTCGCGGTTCGAACACCGGCGGCCGTCCTGGTTAATGCCGCCGCGCTTGTGGCGAGCGTTCAAGAGGGCCCGCGCTGTCGCCGGCGTCGCGGTCCAGATTGGCCCAGTTTGAAGGAGTGAACCTCATCGGGAAACACGACGCAGCGTTGCCCCGTACCGCGAAAAACCCGGCAGGGCCCGCCTCTCCGCACAGAGTCTTGGGACTCGGTGAGGCTTCCCTGGGTAAATCGGCCAAATTTGATAACTTGACGCCGCAGCTCACTTCACTCGTGGCACGCGCAGCAACGTCGCCCCCCGGCTGTGGCCTCGCTCGGACGCGACACTGCGCTGGCATTGCTCATCGGGGGCCCTCCAGGACGTCGCGGCCACAATTTCTCGTTCGACGATTTTGGGCCGATCCTCCCGGCCGGCCTCGCTGCTGCCGCCCGCACGCCGGGTCACGGGCCATGGGTCCACGGGTCATGGGTCACGGGCCATGGGTCCACGGGCCATGGGTCCACGGGCCATGGGTCACGGGCCACGGGCCATGGGTCACGGGCCATGGGTCAGGGGCCACGGCGGCCGTTCCCCATCGTCGTCGCTGCTCGACGAAGACCCCCACCCCCCCCCACCCCCCCCAAGCCCCGTGCCGCTCACGGAGGGATTGTTTGGCCATACTTCACCACGCCGGTCACAGGCCCGGATCGATTCACATCTCACCCTGGGCCTTCCCTGGGTCGCCTCGACCTCAAGTGAACGGCGTCAGCATCAGCGTCACCGCAGGGGAGACGAAGGCGGCCGCTCGCCAACGGCACTCGCCCATGCAGTCTGCTCCGGCTATCCGGGGGGTGCTCTTTGTCTTGGTGCGTGCGTGCAGGGTACGCTGGAGTTCCTGGAGGAGAATGTGACCACGTTCTTCTGCTCGTGCCCAGAGGCTGTGTACCTGGCCATGCTTGAGAACAGGTGCAGCCTCAACACCCCCCCCCCCCCCCCCCCCCCCGCACAAACCCCCGCCCCTCCAACGCCTCTCTTTCCCTCGCCGCGCCCCTCACCGCTCTCGATGTAATTGGGGTCCTTTGTCATTTGGCCCCGGAGATTTGTGAGCAAATTGGGCCCGGGGGTGTTTAGCGTGAAGCGTGAACCCCCCCCCCCCTCCTTCCCATCTCGGCAGAGGGGCGCAGCCGGCCACGGCGGTGCAGGATGGGTTCTAGCGGTGCCGTGGCGCTCGCAAAACCGCGCGGTCGCCGGTTCGACTCCACGTCCCGGCGTGGGGGTTGGAACATCGGGGGGAGGGGGGGGGGGCCGGTTTGTCCCCCCCCCCACCCCCCCGCCTCCTGCCCCCCCCCCCCACTGTTACCACGCAAACAGCGGCAGGAACGGGTTCACCGCGGTAAAGTTGATCGGCACGTCGCGTGTGGTGATGGTGGTGGTGGTGGGGTAAAGTGTGGGTGCCCACGCCTCTTCCAGCACGTCTCTGTGGCGTGGAAGAGTAGGCCAAACACTGCTCGACACACACGGAGCTGTCGTTCAGCCATCGGCGGCGCAAATTCGCGTTTGCATCCCGGCCCGACTGCGACCCCTGTGACCCCGTGACCCCGTGACCTTGTGGCCGTGTGACTATGACCCTGAGATCCTGTGACCATGTGAAAGTGTGACTGCGTGAACGTGTGACCCTGTGAACCTCTGGCCCTGTGACTCTGTAACGCTGTGACCCCATGACCCCGTGACCCTGTGACGCTGTGACCCTGTGACGTTGTGACCCTATGACCCTATGACCTTGTCACCTTGTCACCCTATGACCTAGGGCAGGTAGCCGGCATCGCTGGGAATCCTGGGTTCCGATCCCAGTCCTGGCCACGCGTAGTTTGTTTTCATTGGTGTCTTATAATATTAATAATTTATTCGTGACAATAATAATATTTTAGATTTAAAGCTTTCGTGACTGCAGGGATTCATATTCTTGGTTCTTTCGGTAAAGTCACCACGTAGAAGGGAAACAATAAAATAAGAAAAATATAAAACGATGAAATTCTCACGACGTTTCGACTGCAACACAAGCAATCATCATCAGGTGTGAAAACCACAGCAAGAAAAAAGTGGCGTTAATTTTTTTAACGTGAGCACCATTGTTTCCCTTCTACGCGACTTTACCTAAAGAACCAAGAATACAATAATAATAATAGTTTACTTATTTATCCAGGAGAGCCACGCTGAGTTGTAGGACTCTAGGACGTTGGGTTTTTCTTCGTAAGATGTTTTCAGCCAATGAATGATGAGTCGTGTTTCTTCGACACGTGTGAGAGGAACAACCGGAGCGCCCTCAGAAAACCCACGCCTTTGTTTCGAGGAGGCAACGCTCGATCCTCCGTGTGCAGACGGAAACAGGTGGCGATTAGTCCACGGGCAGCCAGGCTAGCGCACATCTTTGACGCCCACGGGAAGGAAGTTTCACAACGCCTGCGTGTGATCCACCAACCCTTGCCGCTGCTGCTGCTGCTACCTCCACAGCGCTGGATCACTACAGGCAGCCAGGTGCAGCAGAGAGCAGCGTAGCCACCACCACTACCACTGCTGCCGCCCGGCGTGGTATGACTCCTGGTTGTGCCCTGTGTGTTGCAGCTTTGAGCGAATGCTACTTCACGGCCTGTGCCAGTACATGGACCTCGCCTCCTCCAGTAAGCCACTGGGGGGGACGGTGGGGGGGCTGGGGGATGGGGGGCAGGGGCAGAGCCAGGATTTTCAGCCCGGGGTGACATTCAACAAATGTTAATTTCAAGAACGATTTGGAGAGTTCAGGCTGTTGAACTGGACGCCATCGGTTGGCGGACACGCTCTGACAATGCAGTTGACACGGAGTGTCGTACTCTTACACGCAGAATGTCACCCCCTGTCACCCCCCCTGGCTCCGCCCCTGGCTCCGCCCCTGGTGGGGAGGGCCCGCGAGTTTAAGCACCGCACTAGGCGAGGATTTTTACATCCACGATTTTATTTTTCTCAGATTTTGTGCTTACGTGTTTTAGCGATTGCGACAATACTAAAAATCATGTTGACATATGTAGTTAGTTCACCGGTTGTGCACTAATTGTAATCGTTTTTATTGTGTTCATTAATTATTCATCGTTCGGTTGTTATGATAAAGATGTAACGTTTTGGCGGTAAAGCAATAATTTTAACGAAAAGTTTGAATGTGTATATATATATGCGCTGAACTTCTTTTCGCGCCGTACGTAGCCAGCTGCGCCAATCGAACTGAGCCAGAGTGGCTGGCGAGGCGTAAAAGCACGCAGGCAGCGGCGCTCCCCGTGACGTCGCAGCTTCAGATCGATCCGTTAACCAATTTTTCCCTGCGAAATCTCGACATAAACCATTTTCAGTGTGGGAGCGTGGGCGAGTTAGCGAGTGTGTGAGTTAGCGAGTGTGCGATTTAGCGAGTGTGCGAGTTAGTGAGTTAGTGAGTGTGTGAGTTAGTGTGTGAGTGAGTGTGTGAGTTAGTGTGTGAGTGAGTGTGTGAGTTAGCGAGTGTGTGAGTTAGTGAGTGTGTGAGTTAGTGAGTGTGCGAGTTAGTGAGTTAGTGAGTGTGTGAGTTAGTGAGTGTGTGAGTTAGCGAGTGTGTGAGTTAGTGAGTGTGTGAGTGTGTGAGTTAGCGAGTGTGTGAGTTAGCGAGTGTGTGAGTGTGTGAGTTAGTGAGTGTGTGAGTTAGCGAGTGTGTGAGTTAGCGAGTGTGTGAGTTAGCGAGTGTGTGAGTTAGCGAGTGTGCGAACTCGTGAGTGTGCGAACTCGTGAGTGTGTGAGTTAGCGAGTGTGCGAGTTAGCGAGTTTGCGAGTTAGCGAGTTTGCGAGTTAGTGAGTGTGTGAGTGGGTGTGCGAGTTAGCAAGTTTGCGAGTTAGTGAGTGTGTGAGTTAGTGAGTGTGCGAGCTTGTGAGTGTGTTAGTTAGCAAGTGTGCGAGTGGGTGAGTATGAGTGAGTGTGCGAGTTCGTGAGTGTGCGAACTCGTGAGTGTGCGAGTTAGTGAGTGTACGAGTTAGCAAGTGTGCGAGTGGGTGAGTGTGCGAATTAGTGAATGTGTGAGTGGGTGTGTGAGTTAGTGAGTGTGTGAGTTCGTGGGTGTGAGTTAGTGAGTGTGCGAGTTAGTGAGTGTGCGAGTTAGTGAATGTGCGCGTTAGTGGGTGTGTGAGTTCGTGAGTGTGTGAGTTAGTGAGTGTGTGAGTGGGTGTGCGAGGTAGCAAGTGCGCGAGTTAGTGAGTGTGCGAGTTAGCGAGTGTGTGAGTTAGCGAGTGTGTGAGTTAGCGAGTGTGTGAGTTAGTGAATGTGCGAGTTGGTGAGTGTGCGAGTTAAAGCGCCGGCCTTCCCTCACAGGCTGCAATCGTGATGGGCGCCGTGCGACGCGCGTGGTGAACAAGCACCGGGTGTTCGAGCCTCCCGGCCTGGCCCTCTCCGCCTTCCTCGGCCTGCACGCCTAGAGCGGACGCCAGCCCCGTCGCTCGCGCGCCAGGGCCAACCGCACGCACGCCCCACCGCCCGCCACCGCCCGCCACGGACTTCGATTTTGCCGCAAACGTTGCCCGTCGAGAGTTTTTGCGCGCGTAACTTTCGACCCGGCGTTCGCGCGGCCGGGCACCGAAGCCCTCCGCTCGGTCGCGGGCCGTCCGCGAACGCCTGTCCCCAGTTTGATTCCCCCGGTCTCGTCAGCGGCCACCGAAGGTACCGATTCGCGAGCCGCCGCCGCTGCTCGCATGCCCGGCATTCCCCTTTTAAAGAAACGCAATTCTCGTCGGGACGGGGCGGCTGTGTAATTTTAGTATCGAGTCCCGTGCCTTCCGCACGGCCTCGAGGCACCCCGTTAACTTTGTGCCGGAGCTCAGGCCCCAACTTAACCCCGTCCGAACTCGCCACCACGCACGTACGTACACACGTACGTACGTACGTACATACGTACGTACGTACACGCATACGTACGTATGTACGTACGTACGCGCGTCTCTCTTTGCCCGTTTTAACAAAACTGTGCCGGCCGTTGCCGAGCATCGGCGATGTCGCCACGGCAAACGCGGGCATCGTGGGAAGAGAGAGAGAGACGCGAGGCGCGACTTGATCGACGCGGGCCGCCCCGTCCACTTCGAGTGGAGAGAACGCCAGTGCCGAGCATGGCACGCGTTTTGACGGTCTCCCATGCTGGTCTCCCATCTCCTCAAAGGCGCTCTACGTGAACGCGCGGAGAGGGAGCCACACAAAGGGCCTGGGGCGATTTCCGCCTCGGCGTAAAGCGTTCAGCCCCGGCTGACCCTGCGGGAGGTCCCTCGGAGCTGCGGAAGGGTGGCGGTTACGAGGCGGTGCGCGTGTGTGGCGTGGTTTGCTGGTGCGTGTGCGTCTGTGTGTGTCTGTGTGTGTGTACGTCTGTGTGTGTACGTCTGTGTGTGTTTATGTCTGTGTGCGTCTGCGTCTTTGTACGTGTGTGTGCGTGCATCTGTTTGCACGTGTTCGTGCGTGTGTGCGTGTGTGCGTGTACGTCTTTGCCTCTGGTCCCACGTCGCCCACGCCGTGCGTGTCGCCACGCGCGGCGCTCTGCGCGTATTTATCGCCTCGTTTTACCTTCACGAATGTAATCATCGCGTTGCATGTATTTATGATTGTTACGTGGATTTTATTGGTTTTTAGCTTGCGTCGGTTATCGGTAGGGTGGGGGAGCGGCAGGGGCGGTTCATGAAGGCTTGTGGGGAGGCCTTCATGCAGGGGCGGTTCATGAAGGCTTGTGGGGAGGCCTTCATCCAGCAGTGGATCGACCAAGGCCGAGGATGATGTCGACGACGACCATGACATGTTTAACAGTTGGCCAAACACCCCAACATAGGACAACAGAGCTCGGGCAATCGTGTGGCACCCATCCTGGCTGCCTTCGCCGTGCGTCTGTAGTCCCCTTGGCCTGTGAATCATTCTCTCCAAGGCGGTAAAATGAAACGTGTGTGCGCGCGCACGTCACAAATTCTACAGCGTGGTTTCACCCTCGGGCACAAAGTGAATGTCAAAACGAAATTTCAGACCGAAACAGGAGGAGGATCTCTCCACATCTCTGCGGCTGTCCGCCCGACGGTGGCGGTTGTTGTGATTACTGGCGACACGTCACGGTAATGGAGTTGTAAATGTCATCGTGGCACACACAACCGCTGTGTGTGTGCGCTGAACTAGTGACGAATTGGCCACGTTTTGTTTACGTGACCAACCCCTTACTAATCGGCCGTGTCGGGGTGCTGGCGATGTTTAACGACACGTTCATATTTTTCTTCTTTGGTCGACTCGGCCTGAAACGAGTACCTGGTGCGGTGTGTAGTAAACATCGCCACTGGGGAGACAAAGGCGGTCGGGCGTCGTGCTGGCCACCCACCCCCTCGTGTACCGTTGCCGGCCTTCACAGGTGCTGCTCGCTCACAGCACTTGCCCCCACAGCCTGTTTGAGGCTACACGGGGGATCCTTTTGTCTTTGTTGCGCGAAGCAGAGAGCCCCGCGTTGTGGGAGGCCTCCTGGACGGTGGCTTGCGGGTGACGCTGCCGCGGTAAGACTGGCGCGGTCCGCTCTCAGCCCGCATGGGTAGAAGCGGGTCGCGGTGCGAGCGAGGAAGACGGCGCTCCGTCTTCGCGACGACGCGGTCGCGGGTAGCCTCCCAAACGTCCCAGGTGCTGACAAATCTCACCGCAGACCCCCTCAGTCGGGATCGCAATCACACAGCGGCAGCGATCATCACCCCACGCCCCCCCTACTGCGACAACCTTGGCAGGACCCTCGTGAAAAAGAGTTGAGAGTCGGTGAGGCTTTCCTGGGTGAGCAAGGGTAATAATGATACTAAACGACGTTGGTATGTGTTGTAGGAATGTGTTAGATTGCTGTGGTGTGCATTGTTTGTCTATCAACACGTTGACTAATCGTGTTACACAGCCTGCTTGTAAGTGATGGTGTGCATTAGCTCTGCTTGTCATTATTTTATGGGGGGGGCTTTGGTAGATTTGTATCTCTCCCCAACGCTCATTAGGCCTGGGTGTGTACACGTGTGTTAGCAATGAGTTTCCGATTTAACAATATCTTATTTTTTCAACTGTTTTTGATTGTGATTTTCAGTTTGGTGCTCACTAAAGTGACGTCATCTGATGCCACGCGACGCCATTTTCGGTTGAAGCACGGCGGGCGTGACGTCATCCTCAGTGACGTCACTTCCCCTTTCGGTAAAAATCCGAAACGTCTAATTTGTTTTTCCCCTTCTTCATGACCCCGGCAGAAATTTCGTTGTCGAGTCCAGATTTCCGGAATCATCCGGAAATGCTCCGAAATTCGGGAGAGCTCATCGCCAGCTCGCTGCCTCGAGTGTCGGAGGATTTGCGGTGCCGTTTGAATTTTCTTGTTTCTTTGTATAGAATATCGGTGGAAAAAGTCGAGCGGGAGGCGATCCGGCGCCTGTGGGCTTCTGTTAGCGGAGCGCCGGAGGCGTGTGACGGTGCGGCTCGGGTATTTGAGATCGTTATTCGCAGGTTCGTCTTATCCGAGTATGTATGTCGGAGGAACTTCTTCCGCACCGTACGCAGCCAGCCGTGCTAGTGGATGGGCACGCACGCATAGCGGCGGTGTGTGCGTGGCTTCATAGGTGCTCGCCTAACAGCGCTCGTCCCAGCAGTTTGTCGAAGGCGGTCCGGGGGAAGGGGGATCTTTGTCGTTCGTCGCGCCTGAAACGCGCGCAGTGGGGGGGATCTGAAACGTTTCAGATCGCGGGCCTCCAGCGAGAGCCAACGCGGACTTGCGTCTCACGCTGGCCAGATTTTAATTGGAACGTTTTATAATTGCGTTGGTAGCATCCGAGTTTTGTATCGTCGGTATACGGTGCCGGGGGGGGGGGGGGGGGGCGTGAGGGCTGCTTCGGAGATCGCGATGCCGTCGGTCCACAAGGGGAGCCAAGCCAACTCCTCTCCGCCACGCGCGCGCGCGCGTGCGTGAGAGGCGGTCAGATGCCCTCGTGAAGTTAGCCACGCTCGGTGGACGAAACGTCCCCCTTTTTCACGCGTTCGTCAATATCACCCCCGGCCGCGCGTGGCCTTAAAAGAGCGCGCAGAGTAGGTTCTGTCTCGGCGACGGCCCTTCTTGGCAGCACGGCAGAGAGGCCGGAGAGGTGGAGCCACGTGGACGTTGTTTTTGACGCAGGGAGCGTGCCGGGTTTGTTGTTGTGGCGTGTGCACCGCTGCCCACGTAGGGCCAGCAACAACATCAACATCACCACCGCCGCCGCCGCAGCAGTGACTTTACACCTCGAGAGACAATTGGACTCGAGAAACTGCTAGGAGCCTTCGAAGCTCTCGCAAACCCGGGCCTTAAATAAACTCCAAAAGTTGCATTATTCATCAAGAATACGGCAATAAAACATTTGCAAGAAAAGTGTACTTGCGTGTCGCCGTCACGCGGCAGCTGGGAAGGGCCAAAAATTCGCATCGAAATCACGTGGGGAGGCGTCGTTGTGGACCGGGTGGGCGACTCGACTTCGCCAAACGTTAAGACAACGTTACGAGGAATTTGTTTGGTTTTTTCGGGGGGGGGGGGGGTGGTTGGTGGTGGGGAGATGGAGGTCTGGGTTTGTGGTGGCCCGTGATGTGTTCTTCCGTGCGCCGTGTACGGCTTAAAGTGTCACCCCCCCCCCACGCTGAGCACGCCTGTGCTCTGTGGGTCACGGTACAACCGGTGTACCGATAGTCGATGGAACGTCGCGTGGCTCAGCCTCGACACGACACCGTCTGTTTTAAACAACAACAAAAAAAATCTAATTTTTTTTGGTGGGGGATGAATTTTTATCTTAAGGTTCATATCGGCGCAACTGTGACCGTGCTAGGCACAGCGCAGCATTGCTTTAAAACGCGTGCGTGTGCGTCTGTGTGTATCTGCGTGTGGGGAGCGGTAGTGTAGCGGTTAGCGCGCTGCGCTGTGAACCTGGCGACCCGGGTTCGATTCCCGCTCACGGCCAACACCAGTGACGATTATCTGAACCGGTCCCGGGCCTCCCCTAGGTCGACTCAGCCTCAAATGAGTACCTGGTGCGGTGTGTAAACATCGCCACTGGGGAGACAAAGGCGGTCGGGCGTGGTGCTGGCCACCCACCCCCTCGAGTACCGTTTCGGCCTTCATAGGTGCTCGCTAACAGCACTTGCCCCTACAGTCTGTAGGCTATATGGGGGATCTTTATCTTTATCTGCGTGTGGTCATCTATTACCAGGTACACAATTATATTTTCGGTTGGGGTGGGAAGTCTTTGATAAGTAAGCACGTGGGGGGGGGGGGGACATCATCGGTCGCGTCCTTAATAAATACAAAAAATCCAAAATGTTTCACGCGCTGCGATCGCGAGCGTCTTGTTACCGGTTTGTGCTTCATTTGTCTGAGAGCGGTTACATTGCCCGTGTAATTGGACGCGCTCGCCTTAATGGCCATCTCATTAGTGGATAAAGCGTGCAGCTGGGCAACCGGCTGCTTGAGATTTCTTTCCACGCGAGGGGCCCCCTCCCCCCCCCCCCCCCTTTCGTTTTTGTGAAGGCCTCCGCAGCGGAGGATGGATGGACATGGACTACGAAGAGATGTTTGGCGATGGCTCGGGTGGGAGGGAAAGGGAGTTGCCTTCGTCAAGAAGCGGATTGACCATCGTCGATTGATGCTGATGATAATGCTCGTGACAAATTATATAGACGCCGATGAATGCCGCCTAGATGCAATAATTTCGCACTTGATCAGCACACGGCGTCTTCATCTCGGCAGCGCTGGGAGATGTGTGAAGGGCTCTGCAAGGTGGGGTTAGCCGCGCTCCGATACAAAGCCGAGTTCGCCCCTGAGCGGTGCAGTTGCCAGCAACCTGGTTGCCTGCAACTCAAGTCGGCTTCGGTGTGAATGTCCCTGCAACCGATTGCTCAATACAGCAAATATGCCCAAAATGTCCCCCCCCCCCACAATATATTGATGTAAAAATATTTTTAAAAAAATAATTATTGCTCGGCTACGACAGGCAACCACGCACCGCCGTCCGAAATAATCGGTAGCAAATGTCATCATAACTAAACTTAACAAATTGCCATTATTACTGCTACCGGTTCTAGTATAACGGTGCACTGCAGTTCTGCGTGTGGTGGTTTGTCCACGTGGTGTTGCCGTACCACAGCAGAAGCCGCTGCTCGACTACTGTGGGTAGGTACAATCAGAGTCAAACACTGTCTTTGTCTCTCCGTTTCGTTACTTTCAAATGTATTGAAAGTGTAAAACTAGAATGTAATATGAATGTTACGTAGGCTATATCACTGTCGAGTTTAAACAAACTTTTTTGGGTGAAAACGGGCCTCCGATTTGCGATTGCTATTCAACCGTCACTCGCGTTAGCTATCATAGCTAAGTAAGTTACTTGGCAAGTTAACTAGCCACACATTCACCCGGCGACCAGCAATGGCACTCACGGGCGTATGCAACTAACGCGAATGTCTCTATTACGTTATGTTTGTCAGAAAGCCCACGTGAAGTTTGAGGAACGTGTCGATCATTTATGTTGCGCTGCGTGCGTCATATGCGCAGAGAGTAGTGGCTTTCATTGAATGCATATTCGTATAGTGTAGTGTATAGCTTAATAAAGTATTAAAGCTTTCGTGACTGCATAACATTACTCATTGTTTTTTTCGGTAAAGTCACGTATGTAGAAATACAATAAAATTATATT